AATTCAAACAATAATAAAACAAAAAGTCAGCTCCTCAAACAGTGACTCATACAAATACAAATTAAACAATTTCATATTTCTTTAACAATTTTGCTTTGATCATTTTTTAAAGGAATTAATTAATCCAAAGATTTTCTAATCATTTTCCAGATTATTCCATAGTCTGTTAATTTTACTGAAGTTCATCTGTGCTTTTTGGTTTAATAAACATTTGTAATCCCTTCAAATTATAACAGCTTTCATTTTTAACAAAATTAGACTGGATGATGACCTCAGCTGCAGAACCTCAGCAGAACCTCAGCAGAACCTCAGCAGGACTTCAGCTGCAGAACCTCAGCAGAACCTCAGCTGCAGAACCTCAGCAGGACTTCAGCTGGAGAACCTCAGCAGGACTTCAGCTGCAGAACCTCAGCAGAACCTCAGCAGGACTTCAGCTGCAGGGCTCCTGGATCTTCTGCACAGGTAAGGGACTCTCTTCGATGCAGGTCAGAGCTGAACTTCAGCTGTTTGGTGATAAAACATAACAAACATGTCAGGTTGTGCAGACTGAYGTCATGTTGCAGGTAAACAGATTTACAAATCTTACAGGTGTTTGAGGCTCTTTCTGCAGGTAAAGTGGACGTGTTTGAAACATGAAGCTGAAAACAGAACTTCATTTATTTTAGTTTAAATTTCACCAAATCTCTCAGTCGATGATTTTTACCTGATTCTCCTGGAGTCCATGTCCAACTGTGTGTGTGAGACATGAGGACACCTGGACACGTCTCCTGTCCATCACAAACACAGTCATTCTCAGCTGAGGATTTTCACCTGCAGGAGGAAGCCCTCAGGGAGATTATTTAAGCTCCGCCCACAGGGACCCCAGGTGGGAGGTGAACCAGTGACCCCCTGGCTGTGAAGCGACAGCTCTGACCGCTKCACCACCGAGCYGTCACATGAAACCAGAAATCATCTGTCCCCTCTGATCTGARACAGAACCTGGTTCAGGTCTGGGTTCTGATGGGTTCTGGTCCCTGCAGGGCCCGGTCTGGGCCAGCAGGGGGCTCTGTCGGATCTGGTTTGTGTCCCTCAGAGGGGGAGGATGATGGATGAGTCACCCTCAGACAGGCTGTTTGTTTTCCACTCAGAACCAGGTTGGTTCTGCTCGCTGGCTCGGTTCTGCTCAGTCTGGACCTCATTTATTTTAATGATGTGATTCTGAAACATGTGGAGGAGAAAAAAAGAAAAGAAAAAGTGAAAATGTGTTTGATTCTTGTTGGTGTGCAGCAGGAGCCAGAAAACTAATGAGTTTTCAGCAGGAAGCTGGTTCTGATTGAGCCCGGTTTCATCACCGTGGTAACAGAGACTGGACCGGTTCTGGATCAGTTCATGGTCAGAGTTTAAAGTGCCTGTGACATGCTTCAAATACAAAAAGTCAAAGAAAACATATTTATATTTAAGAAAATTAGCATAAAACACGATGTAACCCATTTTGTCTGAGCAAAGTGAAACAGGAAGTGACATCATAGAGAAACTCTTTAAGAAAAGAAACTCTGGTCTTTGTTTAATAAAACAATCTTATTTAAACTCTTCTTCAACTCTGATAGAGACTGAAAATAAACTGAAGAAACATCAGATTCTTCTCTACAGTCTGTGTTAGCTGTTAGCATCGCTCTGTTTACATGCTAACATTCCCCTATGACATCACTTCCTGTTTCTTCACATGGAAATATCTCAAAAAACGTTCATCTCAACGGCGCGAAATTTGTTTTGTAATATGTTATCAATGTTCTCTTTCCAAAAACACATTTGTGACCCATCATATTGAAATGAGGATTAAGTCAAATTTGATCAAAATGACGTAATTATATTTTCAGATTCCTGCTGTAAAAACTACATTTTGACACCTGGATCATCCTGATATCATAAACAGAACCAGAGATGAGCCCTAATTTGTATTTTTGGTTATGATAATACATTAATATTTGTTCTGAATCCTCATTTTATGTAATTTTAATGAGGAATTTTTAATTTCATTATAAAGAGGAAATCTCAAATAGTAATTAAATATTGACGTTTCACAGCTGGAAAGAAACAAACTTTACTAACTCAGAGAAAATCAGGTTTTTCTTTGCTACTGCTCAAAAAGTGCTTCAAAACAATTTTATGATTATAATTCACACAGTTCATTCAAATAAAACACTGATAAKCAGTGTTGTATAAAGTACCTCAAAGTGATATTTGAGTAAAAGTACAAGTATCTTATCAGAAAAATACTTTGGTAAAAGTTAGTCTCCTCTAAAAATATTACTTGAGTAAAAGTCTTAAAGTATCTGATATTTTTTGTACTTAAGTATCAAAAGTAAATTTCTGACACAAAATCTACTTAAGTATTAAAAGTAAAAGTACTGAGTAAAAGTGAGCAGTTAGATTTTCCAAAATGACATTTATTGGGAGGTGACTTCTCCAAAAACTATATTTTCTAACAGCGTGCAGCTGTGATGGGTTGTGTACAAGCTAATAGTGTGTCAGAATGGTATATATTTATACTTCTCATCCAAACACAATTAAATTCACTCTATAGGAGACACAGTTTATCAGGAGAGGATTTTTAAAGTAACTCAGAATAAAACAGGAGTAACAACTTTCTACTTCTTACCTTTTAAAAAAAAAAGCCTTTAAAGCCTCAGATTGAATGAGAAGCAGGCAGACGTGTGAAAGTTTCATAAACAAATGTTTACTGATACAGCTCAGAATAATTCATAATACAGCAAATAAAGCTACTGTGATGCACAAACCTGTGGACTGGAATAAATAACTGAACAACAGCTGTACAAACACACGCTGCTCCACCGTCCACAGAAACGCTCGCACGCACAACATTTAGATTCCAGGAAGTCACCAGACGAACCCTCCAAAATAAAAGCTCCGTGTTTTTATGTTCTTCACGCCAACAACCACAGAATTATTTACATYATGAAGAGAAACCAAAAGAAAGCTGAAAAAGGCACGACTGTCTTTACAACATTTACAAACAGGAACTGAAAGGATTGCACGGGACCACATCTGTGCTCTGGAAGCTGATTGGCTGAGAGATAAAAACCCCCCAAGTCTGTTTTCAAAGTGACGAGAATTAAAGAGGAGAAGAAGAGCTGCTCAGGTGGCGATGACCAGGCGGTCTTCGTCGTCGCTCGACGCCTCGTTGTCGGCGGTCTGCCAGCTGCCGGGCGGCGGCGCCGGCTCGGGGGCGGGGGGCTCAGGGGCGGGCTCTTTGGGACCGCTCGTCTTTGGATGCTGCTGGGGGGTCGGACCCTCCTTCAGCTCCGGAGAGACGGAACCACGGTCAGTCCGAGGCGTCTGGACCCCCGGGGCCTCGGGGCTGCCCTGCCGGTCCGAGGGGCCCAGCAGAGGACTGAGCGTGGACAGGGGGCTGAGGGACGGGATCAGGGCCGGCAGGGCGATGTTCACGATCTGCAGACCCGGGATCTGGGGTCCGCTTTGGGAGGTGGGGCTGGCAGCCAGGACCTGTAGTCCCACGGCGGCRTTGAGCGTGAGGCCCTGGGGGGGCAGCAGGCCCGTGTTGGTCAGCCCCATCAGGTTGAGGGTCTCCAGGCCCAGCGGCTGCAGGGTCTGGGTCTGCAGACCCACCTGGCCCAGAGGGAAGCAGGGCAGGACGCTGCTGAGGGGCTCCTGGACCTGCAGGCCGTCCTGATGAGACGAGGTGCTGGGGGGCGGCAGRGGGCTCGAGTTCCGGTGGATCACACCCACGGCCGGGATGGTGAGCTGGACCGGACCGGCCTGGATCGGGACGAAGGTGGCCAGTCCCGCAGGGACCAGCTGGATCCCCCCAACCGGCACCATGCTGTAGGCGGAGCGGGCCGGCTGCTGCGAGTGCAGCGGCAGGTGACTGAACAGGTGGGCCTCGGCTGCAGGTGAGGCTTCCTGCGGGGGGGCCAGGTACGAGGAGGTCTGAGTGCTGCGATCCACCGGGGTGCTGGACTCTGAGGTCCCTGCAGGGGCAACAGGACCTTCCTGTGGACACAGAAAACCAGAGTAGGGTCAAAGGTCAGGTACTTGGGCCAGAAACAGAAACCTGTGGAAGAGGTGGGGGGTCTCACCTGGACTGGCTTAGAGGTCTTGTTTGACACTGGGGGGCTAAGAGGACCCTCAAAGTCTGGGTAGTCGATGGACATCTGCCTGCAGGGGGACACGGGGCTCATCATATGGACCGACTCTGGGTCCGAGGGGTAGGAGTCGAAGGTGGGGAGGGGGGCTGGACTGCACCGGGACACGGGGCTCACTGCGGGGACAGAGTCTGAGGTCAGGGGTTCCGGAGGCCGGGACGGCAGCAGGGACAGGGAGCTGATGGACATCTGGGCCAGCAGCGCGCTGGGTGGGACGTCCGTCTCTTTGGAGGACATGTGCTGAGGACTGGCAGACACCGACGGGTTGGTGGACAGGCCCGACTCGGCCTGGCTGTCCTCCTCTTCCTCATCGTCTTCATCGACAGGACTGTCCGAGTCGTCCCCGTCTGAGTCCTGACGGTCCACGCTGCTCAGGTGACTGTGGTCTCCTGCAGGACAAAGACCCCTTAAACCAAGAGTTCAACTAAAATCACATTTATTCCTTCAATAAAGAGCTGCTGCAGGTAAGATACTGACTGACTCCACATAACCCCCTGAATACAGGACAGCTGCTTTCAAACATCAGCTGACTTATATTTCTCTACTTCACCCTAGACCACCACCATCCTCTGCTGCGTTCAGGGTCTTGGTTCAGTACAGTTCTATGCTGCGTTCAGGGTCTTTGTTCAGTACAGTTCTAAGCTGCGTTCAGGGTCTTTGTTCAGTACAGTTCTCTGCTGCGTTCAAAGTCTGTTCAGTACAGTTCTCTGATGTGTTCAGGGTCTTTGTTCAGTACAGTTCTATGATGTGTTCAGGGTCTTGGTTCAGTACAGTTCTATGATGTGTTCAGGGTCTTGGTTCAGTACAGTTCTATGATGTGTTCAGGGTCTTGGTTCAGTACAGTTCTATGATGTGTTCAGGGTCTTTGTTCAGTACAGTTCTATGACGCGTTCAGGGTCTTGGTTCAGTACAGTTCTATGATGTGTTCAGGGTCTTTGTTCAGTACAGTTCTCTGAAGTGTTCAGGTTCTTTGTTCAGTACAGTTCTATGACGCGTTCAGGGTCTTGGTTCAGTACAGTTCTATGATGTGTTCAGGGTCTTGGTTCAGTACAGTTCTWTGATGYGTTCAGGGTCTTGGTTCAGTACAGTTCTATGATGTGTTCAGGGTCATTTCGTGCCTTTCGCCGCCCTCTGAGCTCCCTCTCGGGCAGAGGAGGAAAAACAAACTCAGACCACAGAAACGCTCTCAGGCAGCTTCGTTCTAAAATTAGACGCAGCAATTTCCTCTTTTCTGAAGGAGCGCCTGCCGCCCACATGCCCTCGGTGTGAACAGAGGAAGAACCACTTTTAGAATTTCTAATTAGACCGAAGCAAACCATCGATCCTGATGGCAACAGGGCCAGAGCGCCGGCCAATCACATCTCAAGCAGTAAATAAGACTCTGATCCTGCAGAGAAATGCTTGTTTTGTATGAAACGTCAGTGTTTGTGCACACAGACCTGAGTCCTCTGCGTCCTGGTCCTCCACCAGTCCCTCAGAAACCCCCATCTCCAGGCACTTCTTACTGTGGGCCTTGGACTTCATGTGCTTGGTGAGGTTCCCTGTGAACAGAGAGGCAGAGGGTCTCAGGTGGGACGAACTGCAGCAGCAGCTCAGGAGGACTTTATGTAAAGGTGGGTAACCGACAAAGACATTTTTAAATGAAGGTGGGCCGCCGACTCCGAGCTCTGCTCTGCAGCTCTGCAGCTCTGCGGCTCTGCAGCTCTGCAGCTCTGCAGCTCTGCAGCGTGGGAAGGAGAGCTGGATAAAAGCACAGTGAATCATTCTGTCTTTGAGAGGGTGGAGGAACATCTTTAATTCAACAGCCTGAGAACAGAACCGCCTCGAATTAGAGCCAAACACTCTGTGGTTGCTTGGAATGAGCTCTTTTTACTAACTAAAGAGGAAAAAACTCAATTAGCAGGAAACTTTCTACATGTTTACAATTTTATGTTTACAGTTTAATCATTTACATCTAGGGGAAAAAACTATTTGATATTAATAATAATTACCAGTGGTGGGCACAGATAACCAAACAGCTCCGCTAACGCTAACCGCTAAGACAGCGGTCAGGACTGACACAAACCTGTTGGTTTCATCTGAAGGTGGACGGGATTATCCAAACCAGTTATCACTCCCAGTTTAACCCTTTCAGAATAAAASCATTGTTTTGTTTGAGTTTGTGTTTTTATTAATGGCATTTGAAGAATCCCTTCTCTACCGTATTGTATTTGTTATTTAAATATAAAGAATATTGTTTTTGACACTTTTAGTTTGAAGTTTAGCTGCCAACAATGCTACATGCTAACACACGGGGTAGTTTTTTTTTTTTAATTCAGTAGAAACTATATAAAAATAGAGGCTTTACTTGTGATTTTTCAGTGGAAGCTAATACACCTGCTAACAGTTTCCAAAGTTAGCAAAARAGCTAATCTGCTAAATGAGAAGCTAATTCTGCTATTAGTGTATCTGTGTGGTGCCGTAGCTTACACAAATTGTTAAATTTATGAGATATCTGCTGATTATTTAAACTAAACGTTTCCTGAGCCTAATTATCAGCAAAGAGAGATATTGTTATTGAAGTAACACCAGTCAGGTTTAGACAGCGTAAGGACTTGACCTCTGACCTTTGGTCTTGAAGGAGAAGTTGCAGTGCACGCAGTGGTAGGGCCGGACGTCGGAGTGGGTCCGGATGTGTTTGCGCAGCATGCTGGGCTTCTTGCAGCGGATGCCGCACTCCTCACAGATGTATTTTCCTCGGCCCCGGCCGCGGACGTACACGTACTCCTCGTTAGATTTGTACCTGCGGGGGGGTCCAAGGTCAGCGTGAACGAAGCAGGTGAGAATAAAAAAACGTGACGATAAATCGACTGAATCTTACCCGCCGTCGAATATTTTGACTCTCCGTGGTTCTGCGGACGGCGTCACGTCTTTGTCTGAGTCGTTGCTGGTCTGAGCTTCTGGTTGCAGTTTACTTCTGGTTTGTGGTGAAACAGACTTCTGGGTTATTGGAAGCTGCTGGAAGACAAAACATTGATTGATTGATTTGATGGAAGAAACGAGGCAACGATAAGCAATAAGTCTGGAAGAACTCACCTTGGGCATGACGTCCTTCAGCTTGCCCGAGTACGACAAGATGTCTGACTTGCCGCCAGTTCTTATGGCGGAGGTGTAGTGGATCTTCTTGGAGCTTTGCTTGGAGTTGAACAGAGACATGACCACCTTGGTGGGCAAGCCCAGGGGGTTAGGGTTGTTGGGACTGACGGTCCAGACCTTGTATGCTGAGGTCTTCAGGTCAGTCTGTGGCACATGAAGAGGCTTCCTCTTCAGCAGGAAGCACCAGGTGAAGGTGGTGGTGGTCTTCAGGCTGGGGAAGGACAGGCGGTGGGTGTCCTTGGTGTTCACCACAGACACAGAGGTGGTCAGTTTCACCTGGCTGACGTGGAAACTGGAAGGCCGGATCAGGGATTTGGTTGGAGTCCACCTCTGCTCCTCAGTTTTCTCCTGAGGCTTCAGAGTGTTGGAGGCTTCCTGAGCACCGGCTGCAGGGTTCAGGACTGGACCGGATCCCTCCTGAATAACTGTTCCTGTCTCTTTGTCCGGCCCAGCACCATCAGGGGACATGGGCTTTGCCTCCTCGGCGGTCTCCGAGTCCTTCTCCGAGTTGGCTTTGACATCCGGCAGAGGCGGTGCCTCCGTCTCGATGGGACTGTCCGCCGGCTCGGTCGTGCAGACCTGCCTGACGAGCATCAGTTTCCGTTGACGCGTCACCTCTGACATCTTTGAATTGAGATAGCCGAGGGACCTCCCGTCTGTAAGACAGGCCACTCCGTGCTCGTCTTTGGCCCGTTTCTGGTGCTTCTCCATGTAAATGTCCAAACTGTTGGCCGGGGACAGCATGCGTTTACTGGAAGCTGTGGGTTCCTGCTGGGGGCAGAGTGTCACCGAGGCCAGTTTCTGGGTGCAGAAAGAAGGAATCTGCTCTGCTGCATGGTGGACGCCATCCTTCCTCACCGTTGGTGCAGTCTGAGTGTCAGCATCCACGCTGTGCGAGGACGCCGGGCCGTTTTTGTTGGATAAGGAGGTAAGGTGCATCTGCTCGTGAGTGATGAGGATCTGTGGCAGTGGAGCTGATTGGCTCTGATCAAGTTGCTGTTCACCTGATAAAACAACAGTTTGAGTTTTAATGTTGGGGGCTGGCTGACCACCTACAAAGAGGCTCTGGACCATGTCTGAGGGTTTGGAAATGCTCAGAATGGGAGTGGCGATTGGAATAGTTAAAATTGGCAAAGCTATCTGAGTTCCCTGTGTGCAGGAGAAGGAAAATGTTTGGCTGCTTTTCAGGGGACACTGGAGTTGGTATTTGGGCACAAAACAGTTTTCATCTAAGCTACCTGGTTTGTTTTGGCTTTTTTCACAAGACGCTGAGATCTGGCCGAGCGTCGGTTTGGTCTGTTGGCACACCTTAACCCTTGATGTTTGATGCCACGGGTGTGGAAGACCGTGGACTGGAGGCTGTTGAGTCGGACTTCCCAGGTTGATGCTTTGCACCATTTGCTCGTTCTTTTGCAGCGGTAGCTCTGCCCCGTTGAGGCCGGGAGGCCGGGTTACAGAACACCTGCTGGCGATGTGAATCTGCTGGGATCGGTTGTGAGTGAAAGAGCCGACGGTGACGGGAGGTTTGTCTGACGAAACCACAGCTTTACGAACCGGCTGCTGGCTCTCCGGACCAATCTTTAAAGACATCTGCCGAACCAAAGGGCCCCGCCTCCTCTCAATTAATGGCACCTGGGAGACTTGCCCAGTCTTTGGTTGACCAACAGGGGACAGGGATCTACTAGGAGTCACGTTGCCACAGTCAAACGACTTGCTACGGTAATCAGAAGAGATCTCCACGGAGGGCTGCGTGCAGGTGATCTGCTCCGAGGCGGCTCGCCTCATCAACCCAGGCACTCCAAGGGTGTTAAAGGTTGGTGGAAGACTCTGAGTATCTGGGATTTTAGCTGGACCTTCTGCTCTGGATGGACTCTCAGATCGGGATGGCTCATCTCTGTCGAAAGAGATGCTGGAGCACAGAGAGAGACTGCTGTCCCTGCTGAGACTACGGGACAGGCTGGACTCAAAGCTGGACTCACCAGAGGAATGGTCCATCTGAGCCAAGCGGATTCTTTTCTTTTTTGGGGGAAGTTTCTCAGCGGGTAACTTCGACAGACTCTCGCTCCTCTGAGGCCAGCTGAACTGGTCTGCGGGCTTGTCTGCTGGCTCGGCAGGCTGCGTCTCGTGCTCCTTGTCAGAGTCTTCCGTCACCAGGATCTCAGGAACCTGGATGTTGCTTTGACGAACGAGACGAGACTGGTGGACAGGTGTGGAGTTGGCACTAACTGTGCCATTGCTGCTTTGCTCATTTCTTGGTTTTCCGTACTCAGAACTGCTGGGTTGGGGTATTTTTTCGTGGTAAGTGTCTGGTATCCCCGCTGGTCCATCTGTGCTGGGCTTGTTCAGAGAATCCTTCTCTGGGACATCTGCAGGAGAGACCCTCTCAACCGGATCTGTCTCAAACGAGTTGGGTCTGCTGAGGGAGTTGGTGTGTCTGATCACTGAAGTGCCGCTGCCCTGCCGCTGCAGGTCTCCCTTCACCGAGTTGCTGACCTGAGTCTCCCTGATCAACGACAGCCTGGACTCCTCAGTATTCATCCCTCGAGCAACGAGTTGGATCTGTGGCAGCTTTGACTGGTTGTTTTTGGGCTGGACGTCCACCAGCAGAGCATGCTGTGGAAAGGTTCTGTTTGTTGGAGCGATGGGTGACTCAAAGCTAACGGAGCATGGTGGAATGGTGTCAGTTGGAGACTGATCATCCTCGTCGCCAACGCTTTTCATTTTCCTCCTCTTCCTGATGGACGAGTGCTGGTCCAGTGTCCCCGGACCAGCTGCTGGTCTCTGAAAGACGGACTGCTGAACACTGATGTGAAAGACCTCCTGGTCCGTTTCCTTCGCAGCCACCGGCCTGTTCTTAGGAGCGCGAAGCTCAGAGCAGTAGAACTTCTTGTGAGCTTCAAAGTTCTCCCACTTGCGGTACCGGTTCCGGCAGGTTTCGCACTCGTACATGGTGCCTTTGTTTTGCTGAGGTTTCTTGTTTCGGTCCTGGCCGTGTTCGAACGACTTGCTCCTCTGCACCTGCTCAGCRGCGCCGCTCGGCCCGTGATGGCTCTCATCCATGGAGCGGACCGTCGGGAGGCCATGGCTCTCGCTCGTGGAGAAGTCCTCCACTGCTACTTGTCGGACCAGAGTCCGAGAGTGGACGGCYGGGTTTGGAGTCGGTGGGGCCGATGAGAACACTTCGTCATTCAGGGAGCCGATCTTCTCATCAAATGATTGACAAACCCGGAGGGGGTGGGGGAGGGGAGGGACGTTGATGGGCAGAGCCGAGTTTCCGGGGGTTGTGGGCATCGAGTTGCTCCGGGTTATGGGCAGGCAGTCCATGGGTGGGTACTGAGCGGGAACCGAGAGCAGGAACACGGGCTTCGACTTGTCTGTGGGGGTGAACGGGGACTTGGGGATGTCTGAACTGGAACTGGACCGCCTCCCCATGGGTTTCAGGTCAAACTGAAAGGAGTCTTTGAAAATGTATGACTTAGGGGAGTCTATGCTGCCTCTCCTGGAGAGGGATGTCCTCCGTGGCTTTACGCTGTCCAGCTGCTTGTTGTCCACCACCGCCTCGTTGTCGGAGATCAGCTTTGAAATGTGCTCCTCCAGAGAGCGCGCGCTGGCCTCCAGTGGCGGTCGCATCGGTTTCTCTGTCGGACGTGTCTTTTGTTTCGCCGCTACATGCATCACTGTTGCAACCACCGGAGCCACGCTGGGAGGGATGCTCTTCACCACATCGGCGTCTACCGGTGGAGTTATCTTTACGAAGGGACTCGAGGGGCTCATGGCCTGATCGGCACTTTCAGAGCGAGAGAAGTACCCTGAATCTGTGCTACCCAGACTGCGAGGACTGAGCAGACACTTGGGCTGCTGCTGCTGAGAGAAGTCCGTGGCTTGTTGTCTCTGGAGCTGAGCATGTCCGCCCAGCAGAGGAGACTTACACTGCTGGTCCTCATCCTCACTCGCAGCRTCCAGCGAGGGGTTTGTGTCGTCCACCTCCTTGAGAGAGGACAGCACCGTGTTGTTCTGTCTCAGACYGGAGGTCTGGAACTCCCGCTGCCTCTGAGCAGCAGCTTGCTCGGGTGCGGCGCCGGTAACTCTTGGACTGTCGGCCCTCAGAGGCGACACGTTAACCGGGTACACGACAACTTTTGGAAGAGCAGCAGGGGCTTTAGGCTCGTGGGTCCTTTGAACCGGGGAGGAATTGACGGACTCGGCCTCTGTGAGGACCGTTCCTGCACTCCTGTTTTCAGCTGCTGTGCTGCTCTGTGAGGAGTCCGGATCCAGGTCCGCGGCGCTCCCTTCCTCGTCGCTGTCACCGCTCTCATCGGCCTCTGAGTGAGTGCTGGCAGCCCGGTCCAACTCCTGGGACAACGACCCCCCTCCGGACTCGGAGCGCGCGATGAGCCCCAGCTTTATGGCGTGAGCGTGGGATTTCTTGTGCTTGTAGAGGTTGCTCTTGGTCTTGAAGGAGAAGCCACAGGTGACGCAGGGATAGGGTCTCTCTCCGGTGTGAGACCTGATGTGCTTCAGCAGCACGCTGGGTTTGGCACATGCCCGGCTGCAGTACTCACACACATACTTCCCTGGCTTTTTGGGCTTTTGGTCCTTGGAGAGCTGCTCAGCACCAAAGTTCATGACGGTGGTCATCTGCACCTGGTTTCCTCCTGGAGTCACCGGGACCTGCACGGTGCTGGGAACACTGGCAGACAGGGACTGACATGTGTGAACTACCGGTGGCTGGCTTTGGGGCAAAGTGTTGGAGCCCAAAGGTGCCGACGGTCCAGCGTTAAAGTTCAGGTGCAAACTGGGCTTTTCAGGCAGGAACTGCGGCGCGGTGCAGGGAGGAGGACCCTGTGTGCTCTGCAAGTTTCCCTGCAAAGTCGCTGCAACGCTAATGAAGTTCCCTTGTTTGTCGATGTAATAGGTCTGCATGTTGGGGTGTTGGGTCTGCAGGCTGACCTCCCTGATGGGCTGCAGGCGGAGAGGAGTAGCTGGTTTACTGATGGCTGCAGCCTGCAGGGAGGGTTTCCTCTCTGTCAGCGTGCTGAAGTCCGGCTCCATGGCCTTCAGAAGAACATCCAGAGCAGCGCTGCCCTCGAAACTGCGTTCTGGACTCGTCCCGTCTTTAGGTTCTGTCTCTGCGACCCGGGAGCTCTCCTCATGAAACCCAGCAGAGTTCTCCAGCTTCAGCCTTCCATCGGCCGGAGAGCAGGACCCCTCGACGGGAGCAGCTGTTTGGACACGCTGAGCATCTTCCTTCCTGCTGGGTGAGGATGGAGGACAGTGGGCGGGGCTGTTGGAGGAAGAAGAGCAGGAAGTGGTGGTTTCTTTGGAGGAAGAGTCGTGACGAGCAGCTTCACATGGTTTAGACTGCAGGGGCTTCTTAACTGGAGATTTGGGGATTTTCTTTAGCTGATTTTCTGCAACAAACTTTTTCCTCTTCAGGCCTTTTATGCTGTCCTCGACCCGATGTCCACTGTCCACACCTGAGGACACAAACAAAACATTTTATTCTTGTAGTTCTGATGTAATGCTGCTAACACTGTCAGCCTGAGGATTGTTAATCTAGTCCCTTCATCATGCCTGGTTTGAATAATCCTGACTTGTTGAAGAGTAGATGTTAATCTGAATTATTGTTTTAAAAGTCCTTATTTCTATAAACCAGAACAGAAAAGATGAAATATGTGATTCATCACATCGAAACGAGGATTAAATCCAAAGGTGGAGAAAAGGGCAGATTTAGGGTTTTGATTCAAACGTGCAAAAATAGCATTTTGTCAAAATATAATGAATTTATACCTTATGAATGAACTTTCTGAAATATAATCCTTAAAAAAATTCTTGAAGCAGTTTTTAGCAACAAAAAAACTGATTTTGAGGAAAAACGCCTTAAAATTTTGATTTTTCCCTGTGAGCTAACAATGTTTTTGTTTCTTTCCAACTATGAAATCTTAGTATATAAATACTATTTGAGGTTTCCTCTTTATATTAATATCAAAATTTACTCAATAAAAATACATGAAATTAGGATTCAGACCAAACAGTAATGTATTATTTTAACCAACACGACAAATTGTCATATCTCTGGATAAGCTGATGATATC